AAAAAAAAAAAAAAACAGAATAGTTCAGGTTTATCTCTTCCTCACCCCACCCATGACCACCAGCCTGGTTCAGGCCCCCACACCCCAAACTTCATACAAAGTCTCCTGTGGCTTTTCCTCCTCTCTCATCCCCTCACTTGGGTTCTGTCACTCAGCAGTTCTCCTAAATTACACCTTTGCCATGTCTCTCCTGTGTTAAAGACAGTACACCGAGTTGTAACTTCTGCATCCAAGAGTGCCCGGTTTTCCCATTAGGAACCCACCTCACTTATCTAATCCCACTTCTCATTCCTCCCAAGCTCTGGGCTTCCCATGCTGCTTTTCTTGGCATGCTACTTTTCTCACAATTGCCCACTGACTTGGACTTATCCCCGTTCTCGTTTGTGCTCGAATGCCCTTCATTCTCCTACCACTTATGGAAATCATTTCCGGCTCAAGTCTTATCTCTCTAATGACATTTTCTCCAACCACTTTGATCTTTGCCTTTGCTGAACTGACTTCACTTTCACACCATTTAACCCTCAACCATTCCTCATGTAATGTGTATTTGCTTTATCTGCTCAAAGGGCCTGTGTCAACTCCAAGCCCATGAGGCTTATGCCCTAATTTTTTTCCACAGCTTCCAGGGCTAAATTTGGTACCAGGCACAAAGGAGGCATTAAAGACCTATTTTGCTCATAGAGAAAACCAAACAAGTTAATACCAAGGCTTTCTACCCTTATATCACACTGACCATCCAACAAATATTAATATTAAAATAAAAATCATAAGACAGGTCAAACAGACTCTTTGCAGCAACAAAATACTAAATTATTAACAAGACCTAAGGCAGTACAAAACAAAGGTTAGATCACATCTACAAGCCATCAATTTGCTTAATAGATCACCTGAATCTGTGTAATGTGCCTTGTTTCTAATTAACAGACTTCTTTATCTTAAAACATCCCACGTCTTTAATCAATCACAAATCAAAAAGTCATTAAACCTTCCTATAACCTATAAGCCTCTGCTTCAAAACATTCTGTCTTTTGGCCAAACCAAAATATATCTTCCATACACTGATCACTGATTTTTTTTTTTTTTTTTT